ACATCAGGGGCGTAGCTAGAGGGGGGGAAGAGGGGGCATCTGTCCCCGGGCGTAAAATCCAAGGGGCGCCAAACTGATGTTACGACATTTTAGAATTAAATGTTTTCCATCCTTGACAAATTGTATTAAAAGTGTATTCCTTTGTATTGGCCCACCAGCGGCCGAGCGGTAAAGTCGCTGAACACTGGTAGTTCGGTCCGAGGTTCGAATCCCGCGAACGGGCTGGCTGCATGGGCGTTTTCGTGGTTTTCCCCATGTGTAACGTGTATACGAGCCAGTTTCCCTTAGAAAGTCCTCCACGAAGGCATCCCTCCCCTTAGGCAGATAGCCCCCGAGGCTTTGCCATAATCACACACACACACACCATCCTTGACAAGCAGTAGGGGGCACGAAATCTTCATTTGTCCCTGGGCGCTGAAAACCCCTACGACTCTGCTGAACTTGTTTGTCACGAGACAATTTTTTGTTAAGTCGCAAGAAGTGTGTAAAGGTTTATTATAAATTTAGCATATATTTTAGCAAATTAGATCAGATTTGTCCTTTTTTCCCCCTCGGCAGCTGTTGCCATGGTTTGGAGAAAAGGGGAAAGAAAGGGCCCACCCAGGTAGTGCTTATTGTAAAATATCAAACTGTTAACTTTCTCCGTGTCAGTTTCCGTCTAGTTTTATCAAAGACGAAAAAACTGCTTTACGGTGTGAAATAGCGACTGAAAATCTGACTTAAAAAAAATAATTTCCAGTTATCAGAGAACAATTAAAAACAAGGGGGGGGGAATCTGAAAGGTTTCAGATTTTAAATTACATCCAAAGGGGCGTTTTTTAAAATTTTGTGTGCTACATTTGTTTATTAAATATCACGTTCTTCCCACTTAAACCATAAAATTCGGTTCAAGAGCAATATCGCAAAATAGTTTTAAAATGAGCATATCTTTAGAATTTCCGATACAGAGACTCTCGCGCTGAAGATAAAAAAGGTTTTTTTGTGCAACGTTGTCATGGCTCGCTTTGAAATCCTTGAGTCTGTTAATCAAAAATTCGTTCAAGTTTTACAAAATATGAAATCGATAATAAAACAAATTCCAAATTTGGGCTTCCACATGCCCATATTCGTAGGAGGATTACGTCATTCAAAATACGATGGCTCAATGTAGCGTTGTTTTATCACAATGCGAGACATCACATTTTTTTTTCACAATACAAGCATTTAATCAGATTTTTCATTATTTAATTTCTTCAAATATAAAGCAGGACTCTAACATTTGGTGGCAACAGTTTGAAAAGTGAAACGGACATTTACATTGAACCAACGCAAAATCACAAAACGAAAACAAAAGTCCTTTAGGGACAAAGCCCCTTTGAACTAACAATTGATCGTGCTTTCAATTTGCATAAGCGTTTGCTACTTTCCTTTTTTTTTTTTTACTCCTTCCCCCTCCTCCACTCCCAGTTTACTATTCAATTTTTCATGCTGCTATATGAGAAACGTTCAATGTCGATACAATAAATTTCAAAAACAACCCTGAAATTTTAACAATTCTTGCAAGCCTCTTAAAGCAACAGCAAATCGTGATGTAGGTATTCAGACCACGATGTGAAATTTACGCCAGCGAATATTTATAATGTATTTTGTAATATTTTAAACATTGTACCGGAAATGTAACAATTCAGTGTATCGGATAGAAAAGAAATTGTATCGTTATTGGAATAAAGCAATTATTTTTCGATCTCTATTTTATTTATGCTCTTCTTGGTGTTCTGAATGCTTTCAAACAATTATACAAATAAATTACGCGCCGATCATAATTATTTATCATCTGCATTTTTTGTATATATACATAATCTGACTTTTTATTGTCATAATCTGTGGTCGTTCAATTCAATAAATGTCTTTTGCCATCTTGAGCATGAATTTGAAATTCCTGCTATTGACTCTTTGGTAGCGGCTGTGCTGTATTCGATTAACTTTTCTAGAACAAATGACTATCGTCTGATATCGACTACAGTGTTCTAAAAATGCATTTGAATTTTATCTTCCAGTTTCGCTGCATCGATTTTCCATTTTTCTTGCTTTTTTTACGCTCTCCGTTTTCTTTTGCGCTTTCATCTGGATGATAACGAGGTATGTATGGATAAAAAAGCGTCCCTACCGATCTTTTTGAGTGAAACTAAACTTTGCTCCCCGTTTCTTTAACCTCCTCCCCCTTGATCCATTTTTGGCGGGCAAGAAGCCAACTTGCGTTTGTAATGTCGTTCTTGAATTCATGATCTCATCTGTTATATTGCAAGCCTGAAGGCAATTTTTTTTTTTTTTTCGAATCATTCCTTTGGCGACGATTTGGCGATTTTTCGCTTTTTTTTTTTTTTTTTTTTTTTGGTGTGTGTGTGTGTGTGTGTGTGTGTGCGCGCGCGCGTTATTTCCATTTATCGTTCGAAAGCAAGACTGATTTTGTTGTTAGTGTTTCAATTTATTGTTTCAACGAGAAATTATTAATGATCGCATAGCTGTTTTAAGTTTTCCGCATTATTTTCCTTTTCACCATTATTTTCGTTTAAATTCAAGTAGATTTGCAGAATTTCTTCTGGCGATATCTAAATCTCAGAAAAGCTGCAAAAAATGATTTTTGTTTTTGGGTGCCGCAACATTTTCTGTAGACTTGTTTTGCGACCAGTTTTCCCCCTTTGTACATTCCCCTTTAACATCCACTTTCATTGTTTGCGTATTTACAATTTTTATGTGAGAAGAAAACGAGAAGCATGTGAAAAATTTGTGCGAATAAAAATATTAATCGGAAATATGCTTTATTAAAATTAATTGTTATTGTATTTTTATTATTATTGAATATCGTATTTGAACGCGTGGTTTGCAAAGAATGGAATTAATTAAAGAGCATAACATTTTAATTACAGCAATTTTCAATTACTACTACTCGTTGATACAACAACGAGTAGACAGCTGGAAGTGTCCAGCTACAACGAGTAGACGGCTGTCTGCCGAAATTCCGCCCTAGTTCTATTTAAGAATATAGCTAGAGGGTGTATTAGAATATTATTATCAGCTGTACCGTAGAAAATGTCTGTTTAGATGCTTATCACCTTCACAGTTTCGTACCAAAGATTAAAAATTAGCTTTGAATAATATTTGTTTCTAATTTCTTAATTCAAATAATTAAAATTAGGTATGCAGTTATTAGCCCAAAAGGAACATTAGTCCCGAATGGGATATTAGTCTCGAAACTGCATTTTGCGTTGAGTGATTGTAAACGGCGAATCACTTTTCAAATTGTTGCCGCCAAATATATCGCCCTGTATTATATTTAAAGAAATAAAATAATGAAAATTCTTGCTTGTTTCTTTCATTGTGGAAAACAGTGGTACGTACAGCCATCAAATTTTTAATAACATAGTCCTCCTCCCAAACGTGGGCAACTGGAAGCCCGAATTTTCAATTTCGAATTTATTTTATTGACTATTTCATATTTTGTAAAACCTTAACAAATTTTTGATAAAAGAACTCAGCAATTTCAAAGCGAGCAGTGGCAACACTGTACGGAAAACAGATTTTTATCTTCAGAGCGCGAGACTTTCTAGCAGAAATTCTAAAGATACGCTGTTTTTAAATATTTTGTGATTTTGCTATTGAATCGAATTTTATGTGGCGTAAGCGCCAAAAACGTGATGTTTAATAAACACCCAAAACGTTAATAATAATAATAAGGAAAAAAAAAAAAAAAAGTTTTGTACAGCCATCTTTAGTAAGAAAACTAAACATAATGAATTGAGAAAAGACTGGGAAGGGGGGAAATGTATGCCAACATTTAACGCTGCATCGGGAATTCTAAACTTATATTGCTTTTATTTTTATTTATTGTAATTTTGCTGTTGAATTCTATATGGCGTAAGCGCGAAAAGAACTGTGTCAAATAATAAAGCTGAGAAAGGAGGGTGAAAAATGGCTTAGTAGGAGCGAGTGTAACAGCAGACTGGGTAGACTGCGAGCTCAGCTTAGCAAGAACACATGAACACACACATACACCCCCCCCCCAAAAAAAAAAAAAAAAAAAAAAAACTTTAAAGTCTGAAACTTTTCAATTTTTTTTAATTTAATTTTTTTTTATTTAAAATTTTTTAATTTTGTAGTGTTAATATCTGAAATTAAGAAAGTCAGAATCACGTTCAGAAACTTACTGCAGCTAAAAAAAAAAAACTGAGTGCATTTTTTTTCGGGAGGGTGGAGGGGGGGTTGACTCTGAATCCCTTTCCCTCAGAAAACCTTTCATGAAAGGCTTCTCCACCAAGACAGCTAGGCTTGGAAAGATTTCCCATCATAACTTAAATATGTTTTGTGTAAATATTAAAATATTAGTTATACTCTTAATACTTCGTCATATTAGGGTTTTTTTCCCCCGTTTAGGTATTTTATATGTCATATGAAACTTTTTTGTATAACAAAATGTTGAATTGCGAATACAAATAAAACTGTGTTATATGCTTTCATGCTTTATACTTGGAAAAAGAACTTTAATCCAAATAGCTGTGATGGTTGCAAAAAAAATAAGTTTTGTTCTATCTATAGTTTTAACTAAATAAATTTCAAAAAATACCTTAAACGGAAAGTCTTTTCTGAACGAATTTCTTGATCAAGAACTTCTCGTGTTGTGAATCACTCCTCAGAATGTGATTTAAGTTCTAGGTCATCAGTTCCCTTTTCGGAAGAATTAGGTTTCACAGTTTTTGTGCGATCAAAAAATAAATAAAGAGCTAGATGAATAATGTGATGAATAATTATTCTTTTATTTGAAATATTACTTAGCTTCTCTAGCTCAGTAAATTTTACAAGTTGGGAATCAATATTATTTTTCTCAAAAAGATAACATGAGTATATCTAGGTCATTTTGCTTTGGGCATTCAATCTGTTGCAGAGTCTTTCTCACCGTCTTTTTATCTTCGAAATACATGTGATATTGATAGAGCCGTTCGTTATCTATAAAGAGGGTGTTGACGTGATATTCCCCTCAAAGTAGGTGTGTTTTCAATTGCTTGACTGTCTTCCACGCTCGCTTTTCGATCGGATTTAAAGCATTACTGCAAAATGGTAATGATTTTTTATAGTTATTAAGCTAAATTATCCTGCTAAGCTTACTTTACTAGCTTTTACTCTTAACATTTTTTAAAATTTCAAACAGATATTAAATTTTTATTTGATATAATTTATATTAAAGAATATTTTTGCTTGGGATTCAAATTCAGTTTAAGTACATTTAAATGTTGCAAAATATGATTGTCTTGAATTTATTGTAATAGAAATAAGGTATGAATTAGACTTATTGCTTTATAGGTTATTAATATTGTTAATATGTTTCAAAAATCAGATGGGCTGGGACAATGACACTATTTCATGGTCTCTTTGCAGGCGATTTTTTTTTATAGTTCAGGTATACATTTATAAGTATTTAATAACGGTACTAACAATTAAAAACTCTCATTTTAACCGAATTCTTATATAAAATATTATCTCTGTTAGAGTGCAAGTTCTTTTAAGAGTTGAAATCTTGTATATTGTAAGCACTTGTTAAAATTATAGGTTTTGAACCTAACCTATTCGGACTTATTTAGACCTTTTTAAATTGCCATCTTCATTGTCAAAAGAATAGAAATGCGCAGCAGATACTGTTAGTTCAGAACATAAACAGCCATTGGGAGGGATAGTCTAAATACTAATGATTAGCTGTTATCTTTTGATGGAAAATTTTTAAAGTGCTGAGCAAACCAAGCTGTCCCATATAGAATGCGGTGCAGTGAAGCATGTGGTTTATTGCCGTTGTCTTGGCCATGTATTTCATGCAGGAATGGTTGCCAGAGCCTGAAGGAAGTTGGACTTGTACTTTCATTTTTTTTTAGGGAGAGCAACCCTCGCCATATATTTAGAGTGCCCATATGTAGCATGCATATCCATTTGCAAATTTCCATACCATTTCCAGAATTTGAATGCGGGCTCTTTGGTATCGCAGTAGGCGGCCCTCCACTGCATCGTCTGCGGCGGTCATTGCCATGAAGAAGACTTCAGATGTTTTTCACATTGTGGAAAAATGGTTGCGTTAGTTTTTCGCGTTGTGGAAAAATGGTTGTGTTAGTTTTTTTCATTGGGGAAAAACGGTTGCGTAGTAGTCCAAATGTTGAATATGCAGTTCTACATCCAAACTTCTGCACTTAGAATTTATTTTGTCTGTTTATTTTATTTCGCACGAATTTAATGAATTTTTGATTAATAAGAATATACAATTTTTTTAATTATTAAATTCCGGAAAGTAACTTTGTCTACTCCATTGCAGATAGCAAGAGTGATGTGTAATAATTAGTATTGGAATCAGGGCCGTTCCTAGTGGGGGGGGTGCAGCTTGTAAAATTACGCGGACGGCGAAAATCTGGGGCAACTGGACTCAAGCGATACCATGACTAAGTATTTTAAATTCCTTAAATTCATTGTAAGTACTTGCCACATGTAAGGACTTTTTATACAATTTTTCATATGCAAGTACTTAGTAAATATGAAATAAAAATTTTATATAGCAATGAACTTTTTTTTTATATATATATATATATATAAAATTTTAGGGGCGGCAATCGTAGGAAATTACGCGGGCAGCCAATGGCCCTGATTGGAATGACCCGTCAGGAACATTTAAATTTTTCTTTGTGTGATGACAGCGAGATGGTATCTTAAAATGATGCTCTTGCTTTTCTTGGAGTCATAGTCTATTGATGATAATTAATACTGTAATAAAAACAGCCTTTTTCGAAGATGATTATTATATGCCAGTTTGTAAAAAATAAATTATTTTAATAAATCGAAATGGGGTCATAGTATTAGAATGCCATTAATCTGAATGATGAACAGAGCGTGTACACACAAGAACTTATAAAAACAGAAGGGAAGAGTTATTTTTATTAGTCCCGCAGAGTGGAGATTCCTAGCGCACATGTGCTAGAGGGAGAGAAACCAGGACGGGATGTCAGTTTCAATGTTGAAGAACCACGGGGAGGAAGGTAAACAGGGGCGTAGCTAAAGGGGGGCATCTGTCCCCGGGCGCGGAATCCAAGGGCGCCAAACTGATGTTATGACATTTTAGAATTAAATATTTTTCATCCTTGGCAAGCAGTAGGGGACACGAAATCTTCATTTGTCCCTGGGCGCTGAAAACCCTAGCTATTACTCTGAAGGTAAATGGGCTGGCTGTATGGTTGGCGTTCGTGGTTTTCCCTGTGCGTAATATGAATAGGAGTCGGATTTCCTCGGAAAGTCCTCCGAAAAGACATATTTCCTCTTTAGTGTATAACTCATGGATATAGCATATAACTTTTGGAAGTTCTATTTAGGACACTATGAATACAAACTTCCAGCAGCTAATTATTCCAATCTATTACTGTCTTCTTGGCCTATATCCAGCTGTTCTTTTCCCCATTTAACATATGTTTGTTCTCCCGACTAACTGTAAATGAACCGGATTGCTGTCACAAATGTGATTCTAAATGCTTTATTGAGAATCTACTTGGGTTACATCAAGCGAAGGTGCAGATATTCAGAGTGGGTTGTCACTTCACACTTATCCGTAATTATCTTTAAATCGCGCTGCTTGGCGATAATTTCGAGGTTGACAGGATAATTCGTAAGTACCAAAATTTTAAGAATTTTAAGAAAAGATTGTTCTTCTCATGATTCGTTAGACAGTAATGGGGATTACATAAGATGAAGAGATGCTCTGGATCCCTGCTGAAGCTTATGTAGGTCTCTTCCCAAGAAGTTGTTCTATATGTAATTCCATAAATTACTCCATTATTTAAATTTTCATTAAAAAGGATGAGAATATACTTTTGTTCTTTTCCCTTTTTTTAACTTGTTAAAAAAGTGCAGAATTCACTAGAGAGATCATGCGATTTATAGGCAACTTCTTTAAGGAGTGCAGTACCTGCTGCTTATTAAAATCTATTCCATTCCAAACATATTTGAGTTTATTTAATGGCTGAATTTAATAAAGACTTTCAATGGTGCAAATGATGGTATCAACTTTGAAGTTATAATATCCAACATTTAATGCCTAAATTATTGATTAAAAATTAATATAATAATTAATACCTAAATATTAATTAAAAATTAATGCTAAAATTAAGCTTTGCAAAACTTGGAAATTTTTTTTAAAGAAATTTAATAATTACTTACCTAATGAAATTTTAAACTTTTACAAAGAACTGTTCTATCCATATTTATTTGACATTGTTCATTAACAGTCTTTCAATTGTATTTTCAAGTTCATAAAACTGTTGGAAGTTTTCCTGACCTCCACCTTTCATTCAAGTGTTTATCTTAGAGTTTACAGAGCTTTTTCTCAACTCAGCTGAGGTTGGCTTATTTCCTTCTGCATCACTTTCTCTGTCAGTTCCAGTTTCTGGAGCTCTTTTAATGCTTTCTGTAATATTTTAGTTGGTTCTTTCACATGCTGTCTCAATATTATCATCAATTGTAATGTATTCAAAAAACAAATCTTCATAACTTCCCTCACTGATGTCTGAAATATTAGAAATAGTTCCCAGCTCCTCTGTGCTTTCTCCTAAGTAAAAACCAGATTGTCTAAAGCAATTTCTAACTGTACATTTTTACAAGATTCAATTTTGTTTATCTTTTTTCAACAACACCTTTTCTGTAATTTCATTTGAAAGCTTTTGTAATACCTAATAAGAGTAGATAAGAGAGCCATAACTGAATGTTTAGAAAAAAAAATCATAGTCTTAAAATTCTCAAACTCCAGACATTTTTCCAATCAAGGATTTAAAAATACCAGAACTGTCTGGGCTAATCCTGGACATATGGTAAGTCTAATCTGTATAACCTAACTATTTCTTACTGTATATACAACTCATATAATTAAGAGTGTAAAAATTTTGTATTGAGGATTTCCAGTGTGAAATTCTGTTTATTTGTAAAATTATGGAGTGATTGTTATTTGTTTGGAATTTTTTTCTTAAATATTTATTGTTTATAATATGTGTTTTGTTTATTTTAGGACTCCAATGATGGACTTACTGGTTCAAGCCACCACATCCAACAAAATAGCTCCGGGTGGTCATATCATTAATGTCATTTCCAAAGATGAACGCAGTGTTAGTTACAAGCCCAGCACACCTATTGGTTCCCTTGATGCTAACACAGTGTACATAGTACCCAAGGCCACTTTAGATTTACCCATTAAAAGAATGCCAAAACTTGCTAATCAGCCTTTTGAGGTTAGTATTGTAGTACGAGTTCAGCATGTATGTATAACAGTTTCTTGCAATTTTAAAATTTTTTCTTCTTTGGGCATAAAAGAAATCTGGTCTAATAAATCTTTGTAAAATTAAGAGCAGTATATATAGCCATTATTCAGACCTTTAAGATATTCATAGCCAGTGCAACCATAGTGGATGGAAATTTTTTTAAAATTTAGGAAAGCACCAGGCAACAGAATTTAGGATCCTCAGAAATTGCACTGGCTGTCAAAAAGGACAGCACTGGCCCTGGGAATGCCATTTATCCATTTTCTTTCAGATCTATAATCTACTTATTTTAAATAGCATATACCTATTTCTTTTATTTTGAGTGATCAGGCAAGATTAATGCTAGAAAAAGATATGAAGGTGATTCTAACATTCTTGGGCATTATTACATTAACTCACAATGACTTCATAGTGTATAGCAGTTTTATAATTTGATTATTGTTAAAGACACTTTTAATGATGGCTTTAAAAAACTTATGAAGATTATGTACTTGTACTTGAAAGATTCAGAAAATGAGTCGCCCACATCCATCCAGCAGTTGTTGGATCATAGAAGCTCCAAAATGACAATGTGCCAAGCCACACCGCCTTTGTTGTCATGGAATTACTGGCTAAACATGGCATCATAAAGCTTCCCCAGCCACCTTACAGTCCAGATGTTACTCTTTCAGACTTCCTCTTCCCCCGACTGAAAAAAGGACTGCACCATGGTTTTGCCCAGGCCATTCAAGAGGCCATAATGAGAGAGCTGAAAAGCATTCCAGTTTCTGCATTCCATGGAGCCTTCAGATATTGGCAGAGTTGCTGTAAATCCTATGTTGATGCAGAAGGGGCATATTTTAAAAATTATTAAGTCGATGTGTCAAATTTATAAATAATTTTTTAAAAATTCAATCCTACTGCTTTCCGGACAAACCCTGCATTTGTTGCACAATAAACATTGACTTTTTTTGGCTGAACTTTTTTGAATTTCTTAGAATACTTTAGACCAATAATACTGCTGTAGCCCTCTTCTTCTTTCCCCTAATGCATGTGAGCAGTTAGCATTTTAACAAAAGACCAAAAACAGTTAGCCATTTTACCACAAATGACTTTTTGAATTTTTTAGAATACTTTACACCAATAAAACTACTGTAGCCCGCTTATTCTTCCCCCTTATGTATGTCAGCAGTTAGCATTTTAACAAAAGGCCAGAAACAGCCATTTTACCACAAATGACTTTTTTGGATGAACTTTTTTGAATTTTTTAGAATGCTTTAGACCACTAAACCTGTTGTAACCTGCTTCCCCCCTCCCATTATGCATGTCAGCAATTAGAGAAAAAACCAATTCCCTTTAGCCATTTTACCACAAAATACTGTATTTCTGCTGCAATCTTTCCACAATTACTTTCAGTGCAGGCAGATTGCACATGTGCACATTTTAAAATACAGTTTAAGGTTAAAAAATCACAATTTGTCTAACAACATTGGAACTTGGAATACAATAAAAAGAACACACACAAAAGGGTGATGCTGCTTGTTAAAACTGAAGAAGTGTGTATTTGCTAGAGTTTTAAAATTTGTATTTTAAAAATTTGGCGACTTCTACTAAAGTGGTTGTGCTAACTAAGTCCAAGATATGTAGAATATGCTACATACATGAATAATTACTGTATAACTGTAATACATAAATGCATTCTTAAACTTTTGAGTCTGTTTTGTGTGCTGAGCATTTTTTCAGAACTCTGACATTAACCACCATTGCTATTTTTATAATATTTTTCAAAATGAAATCAAGTAACAAATAAAATGTAAGTTTGCAAAATCCCCAGTGAACTCCTGACTATTAATTCTTGGATATGCAGTGCTCTGTGGAGCATAGTTTTAGAACATAAGTGTATTTAACTTCCAATTAGAATTAATTGTAAGCTCTTTGTATTTGGTTATCTAAATACCTTGAAGAGGTTTTTTCTTATTTTCAATGAGCAGATTTGAGTCTCTGGATAAATAAAAGTATTGTCTCTTGGAAATATTTGTGTACAAGCCTTATGTACAAACTCCATCTTGAAGGTCCAGCTCCATCTTGAATAATTCTATCCTCTTTTAACGAAATAAGTGCACAAATCTTAAAAAAAGGTTAATTTATGATGAAATAATGTCATAATTAACCCCTCTATTGCTTGGCATGTTTTCAAAACATTATTCTAAATGTATGATTTTTAAGTTCTGCATCTCGAATTTCTTGGAGATTTATTCTTATACTAATAGGACTATCAGAACTGATTGTTTTAAAATTGCAATCAGGTAAATCAAACTGAAATCTTCATAAGAAGAGCAAATTCCAATTTCTTTCCAGTATTTAATTTTTTATTTTTATATTTTCCATTTTTTAAATGCCGCACAGACGGGATAGTGGTTAGGGGAGCCTACTGTGGTATCGAAGGGCTGGGGTTCAAAGCCCAGAGAAGGCATGGTTGTAATTGTCTGTACCTTCATAAGAGGCAGTGGTGGCTGCCTATTAGGTGCCTCGACAATAAAATGGCCATGAATTATGCCTGGCCTTAGAAGTGGCCAATGATGAATATGCAGGAGCCCTCCTGTGCATAAAAAAGGGGGGATTAATATTTAACATTTTGAAATTTCGGTGTCAAACTCTTCTTGGTTTTAGACAGTGATATTTTCACATTATTGGTGACAATTTTCCTTAATCAGCACTGAAACAAGCTACTGCATTTCGCTGATTATCACCCATATACAGCAACAGAGATTCCAAGTTTTTCATAGCATATCCTAGTCTCCTGGCAAATCACTAGACATCCCAATTTTTATTTATTTGAATTTAGGGCTCTTTTTTCAAATGTAGCTCTAGAAGAATTTTTGATCACTATATATTAAAAGAAATGCTGCTTCTGGGGAGAATCTGACAATGAAATCTTAAAAAAAAAAAAAAAAAAAAAAAAAAAAACAGGCAGCAACAACGATTGCTTAATGAACCATAAATTGTGCAAGTTCTATCACTTCTAGTGATTTTCAGCATAACTTTCTGATTAATGTTTCTTTGATCTAAACTTTTTTTCACCCATGAAATAGGTTTTTTTGAGTTTTATGAAGACTTAAATGTCTAATACTGTGTTTAATATTGCTTTATATCTGAAAATGGCATTAATAAATTTATAAGCATGATTATCTGTTCACTGATTGCTAATTTATTTGTACTATGTTTAAAAATACTGTGATAATAAGCTTTTCTTCTCTGTCCTGGATTTCATCAGTATAAATTTTTTTAATTACAAAAGAGAACTAAGTTTTGTAGCCAAGTGGCATGAATCCTGGGTTTTTTTTTTTTTTTTTACTTTTTAGAGACGCCAACTATGTCCATTATAATTGTTGTTAAGCCTATACCTGTAACTGATGATTACTCAATTTTATTTATTTATTGTATGTAAATCCCACAAAAGTACATCCAAGAGATTAATTAATAATGGTTGAAATCTTGTGCTATAGAATATATTTTTACCAAGACTGCAATATTGAGACTGAATAGTCAAAATTTTGAAAACAGTCAGATTTTTAATGTATGTGATTAATCAAAGCCCTTGTGTTTAAAACGGAGATTTCATTAGAAACCTAGTTTCAAATAGAATTAATTTCAGATGTGATATATACACAGTATGCATTGAATTCCTTGTCTGGCCTTTATTCCACAGCCATTGGTCAGTCATATTTTCAGTTACAAAATTGTCTTAAATGATGCTGATGCATTTTTAAGGTAAAACAATTTTGAAAATTATGAAATCATTTTTATGTTGTCTTCTGGTACCTCCTGCTATGTTTTGTCAGAATTTTATATTTATTGCATAAAATAAAATATAGAAATTTGGCTTCTTTGCGGAAAAATTGAAATTGATATTTATTTAATTTCAAAGTTTGGGATTTTTACCATCCTTTCAGGAAGATTTACCGTCAGAGGTAATTTTAAAAATAAATTAGAACAATTTAAGCTTAATTTTTTCCCCTCTCTGTTTATTATCACTTTGGGATATATACCTTTCCAGGTCTGGATTAACCTCTAAACAATATGAGTAAGTGCATCAAGGAAAGGGAGCACCATCCATAGGTATTCAGGAGAGGGGCACCAAAAATCCCATTGCTTGTTCTACTATGAATTATATGGTGGGGAGAGAGAGAGAAGGAATGAAGAAAAAACTGGTGTAAACATACATGGGGACACTAAAATCTTTATAAATGCTTAGGACCTTTAAAGGCTTAATTCGGCCTGTACCTTTGAGATTTATTAATGTGTAATGTTCTGTAATTCATTAACTTTTACATTTAGTATGCCAAAAAGGATTTCACAGGCTAGTTCTAAATTTTCAATGTTAAAAATATGTTAATAATATTTATGTTAATTTTATTTTTACTTTTTTAATTGGAGTGTAAGACCATTGGTTGAAACAAAAAAAAAAGGCTACATAAGGAGTTTTGTGGATATGATATAAGCAAGTTATTAGATTTCAAATTATCAGCTCCTAAGTGAATAATTGTGCGTATTAAACTTATATGATGTACTACAAGGCTTCTTAAACTTTTTCAATTGTGATCCCCTTTATCGCAGATCCTCCCAGTTGTGACCCCTTTATCACTTGAGACTTTTTTCGCGACCACCGGACCCCAAAATATTTACGAAAATTTTGTGGAACCCCATAAACATTGCGCAAATCTGACACACGCGTGAGTGAAACTGTCATTTTTTTCACTTTTAGGTCCTTAACTTTAATTTCTAATTTTAAGACACAGAACAAAGTGAGAATATTAAATAAGTAACTGACGAAATGATGGCGTCATGTATTTTCAGATACATTGTGTAAAAATATTTGGTAATTGTAAAATTATAATAAGTTAAAGAAATATCAAAACTGCTAAAATTTTTGGCAACACCCTGCTACGAGTCCCGCGATGGGGGGTCGTGATCCACAGTTTAAGAAACTCTGATGTTGTATGTAATTCATTATTAATATTTTTTAGAACTATTTAAAACATATTTTATATTTCTGAGGCTTGTACGGAACTCTCAACAGAAAACCTGTATTCTTTTAAACTTAGTTGCCATTATGGTACAGATCAGAGCATGTCCAGTTTAAAAATTTTTAGAATTTGAGGAGACATTGAGCAGCAGAACATAGGAGCTTTAAAGATCGTACTGGTTGTCAAAAAGCCTAGCATAGCCCAACCTTAACTGTAATTGATGTTTATTGATATTCTTAGCTTTATGAATGAAAACATCAGAAAATTAGACTGGTAATTCTAACATTAAAAAAATATGAAAGTGGAAAATTTATATGTGTAAGCATCTTTTGAAATATTGGAATCAATAGAAAAATTTTAAATATGAAAGGTTGTGTAATTGTAAACAGTAAAAAAAATGGGTGCAGATTTAATGCTTAATTTGCAGTTAATAATGTTACTTGGCTAAAATTAATATTTAAAATTCTAGATAATATAAGGAGCAGAATTTTATTTTGGAGTTCTTGATGCAAGTGAATTGAAAATTATTTTTAAACTTGTCATTTTTATTATGTAAGTGCAGAATAGTTTTATGATTTTAGTGCTGCAGGATGATTCATTTAAGTAATAAAATACTGTAACAAAAAGTCTGCAGCCTTTAAAAGGTATACTGTAAGCTTCTTGCATTATCGAGCGTAAAATGTTATATTTTTCTGTTTTTAAAAGAAAATTTATATTCTGCTGTGTTAATCTGATGTTTAGCTTTATATGCATTTTGGTTTTAACATTGTTAATTTCTAAGATGTGTGATTGTTTCCAGCAGCAAACATTCAGGTTGCAGGTGAACTTACCTCATAATCAGCGAATGGTTCTCCGGGTTAGTCCTCGCACTACACTAGCTGAGTTGAAAAGTCAGATTTGCTCTGAAAAAGAACTTGACCAAAGTAGTCATCATCTTGTACGGCCTGCACAACCTGATACTGTTTTAGATTTAAATGCTACTCTTGAAGTTTATGGTTGTGCTGAAATTAGTTTGATGTCTAGTGCAGGTATGTACTTTAAATATTTTTTATATTTTTCTGCTTTTATAAATATATTTTCGTATATTTTTAATTTCAGTACATGAATAACATATGATCTGGAAAACATTATACTTGAATGCCATTTTCGCTTAATATGACTCTATGAGATCTTTATTGTCATTATTAGAGCTCATAAACATTTAATTCTTAATAAAGTAGTGAAACTAATGAAATAAGCAGAAAGTATAAAATTGTTATGTATGTCATACAGATATGGATTATTTTGCAGTTGTGTGGCACTGGCTCAAAATGTTATGAAGATTTGTTTATTCTTAAGCAGGATTTAAATTCTTTACTATTATTATTTTAATTTTCCAATGTGTTTAATGCATTTGTAAACCATTCTGCGAGGTTTCATTTCTTTTCCCTCTGAAAAAAAAGTTTGTTACTATTAGAAATATATATGATGTTATTTTTTTTTTAATTCTGTGTTGATTGTTGACATAGTTAATGTTGAGTGATTAATTAGCATATATATTACGATCTGCACATATTTTCCCTAATGCAACTGGTCTCTTCAAATGTGTCTTATTTCACTTCTATAGGTCAATTTTCTGAACTGCTAAAGGTTTTTTTCATTATTATATAAATACACACTGTAAATCTATTCTTTACATAAATAATTGTTAGCTTAAGTGTGTTATGCATTGGTCTGTTATTAAAAATATTTTTTTATTAAACTTGAGTCAATAATGGAAGGTCAAATCATAAATTAATCGGAATATGTTCTGACAAATAAATCTCTTTGATCCTATGTGATGTAGGTCTGTTTTTCATCCTATCATCAAAATACAGGGAAATTTAGGTCTTATATTTGTATTTAAACTAAATTCAGTATTGATGATAGAGCTTTGCATAGCTTTCTGCATTTTATTTTTGAAATTAGATTTAGAGAACATTTTCACTTTTTGTAAATAGTTTTGTATAACTTACTTCAGGTATTAGCACAAAGTCTTGAGAAATGAATTTGTATCATAAAGAGCTTAGCAAGAGCTGAGTTTATTAATATAATAGAGACAGGAAAGAGCCTGAAATTATATGGTTCAGTTATTTAGTCTAAAATAGGTCTAAAGTCAGTTGCATTTGTGAATTAAGGTAGTTTGAGACTGCAAATACTAGGAGTAAGTGGAAGTTTTCTTGGCATTCTCTGTGTCATAAAAATATTATAATTTTACCTAAAATATATCCAGGATTGACCGTATTTAAAAAAAAAATTAATATTCCATTGATTTTATTTTGAAAAAAAATATTACTTCTGTTTCATTTGTATAATTATTTCATATATTTCAGGTCTTCAAGACAGCATTCGAAGCACTAACATTTTTCCTTACACAAGAGCTGAAGAAGAAAAGAAAAAAAAAAAAAAAAAAAAAAAAAAAAAAAAAAAAAAAAAAAAAAAAAAAAAAAAAAAAAAGAAAAAAAAAAAAAAAAAAAGGAATTCTTCGTTTATTTTCAAGGAGGAGGAGGGGAGATGTGAATGTATGTTGAGTTTTGAAATAGAAGAGCTTTAAATATTAGAAAAACATGTCAGATTTCAATATGAAAAAGAATATTATTATGTGCATGTTTAATGTATTTAAATATAACGGAGAATTGCAGTTTTATTGTTGGCTCAAGCAAAATGTAAAAACACATCATGCATCCTTCTTACAATAGTTTAAATCTAAATCTCTCTCCCTTGAAAAAGAAGGGGGGGGGAAATAGACCTGTTTGCCTTCCTTTTACATTACACTTCCCTCTATCCTTTTTTCTATATTATATTTATTAAACTTCTCTCATTAATTTCTGCCATAACTTCTGTATTGTCAAATAGTGTTTATTGTCATTTTCCATCCTCTACAAAGGCACGTTATCACAAAAGTGGATCATCGCTATATAAGGAATCTACGACCTTGCTGCCTTTACTTCTATATTTCACTTTTTTTTTTTTTTTTTTTTTTTTTTTTTTTTTTTTTTTTTTTTTTTAATGCAATATAATTGTTTGAAACATGATGTCTGAAGAAGTAATGAACAATATTTTTATCAGATTCAAATAGCTTTTACTTAATAGCTTAATTTTATTTGTGACTTCTTCATTCAAATTCTGCATTTTTAAGACATTGTATGCCATTGAGAACTAATTTCTCACTAAATTCCAAAATTTCCCATTATTTGTAATACTGTCTATATTTGTGTATGTATTTGGCTTCTGGGCACTAAAAATGATATGAATTCTTCTTAAGTGCATGGTAGAGAATTTTGAAAATATATTTTGGGCAGTTGATTTGTACATCTGCTTCAGGAGTTATATATAGGCGTTTAATGCTGTTCAAAATTTTCCTCTTGTAATTGCTGATGTGTTAAATGTCCTGAACAAATGATGTGATGTACTGAATTCAGATTTTTCAACTTTAAATTTATTGATATTATTACCTGTAACTCTATATCAGCTGATATCTCAGTACATTTATTAACCAAAAGTATGTCTCTTGTTACAAATGTGTGGGGTTTTTTTTTTTGTTTTTTGTTTGTTTGTTTGCATCCTGGGCACTAAAATCTTAATTTGAAAAAGGTATAATATTTATCTTTATTTTTTTAAGATTATTAGTATTTAAATTTTTATTTTATTTATTTCAGATTGCCATCGAAAAGCCCGCAAATGGAACAAGTACCCTTACTCATTCTCAGAGTGAGAGTACAGGATTGAATCGACATAGCTATCAACCAAAGCAGAGCCTGAAAAGGAAACCTGCTCCAGCTCCTCCACAAAACCGAAATTCATCACCTCCTTTCATTACACAGAGTTCAAATTCTATTAATTCACGTCCCGAATCCGAGATTTCAATAAAGACTGCTGATGAAGTAGAAAGCTCAGTTTCCCATTCCAGGCATAGTTCTGATTCTAGTGGCTATCACGAACCTTCTGTTTTTAGTGACTGTTCAGAAAACAAGTCACCGGAAGCATCTATTGTTCATGGAGACCATGTCTCTGTGAATGATGCAAACCGACAAGAAAGCCCCTTTCATAAAGACTATCCTGATAGCTGTGTTCTAATGAAAAGGTCTTCAATGACGGCCAAAGACACAAATTTAAAAAATGTGCCATCCTGTTCTAATGTCTCCATCATTAGTACATCTCGTAAACGAAAAGCTCCTCAGCCTCCAGTCTCAACCTTACCTGCAATAGAATCTCCATCATCACCTGATGCTCCTCCTTTGGAAACAATAGAAAATATGCCTTCCAATGTGTCTTCTAAAAACACTGAGCATGAAGTGGGAGAAATACATCCCCAGAATAATGAAGATGCTCTTCCAAATCCAAGGGATAATGATACTGTTGAAAGTAAAGGCAGCAGAAGTGATGATGCTGTGCAACAGGAATCTGAAGCTCTTCAGTATTTAGAGGATGTATTGCATGAATCTGAAAGTTCTGCAAAAGACTTTCTACCACATAAAGCTTTAGATGATAGTGATACTGACTCTCAAAGAGATGAGGGTGAAATGATATCAGTATGCCTTGCTGAAATCCATGCAAATAATAATGATCAGGACTCCCCTGATAGTGTAGTTGAGCCTCATGCTGTAGTTTCTCCTGATTTACCATCTCCAAAATCTAGCACTGCTCCACTGTCACTCCCTAATTCCCAGCCTGCAGGATGCGAAGGTGAGCTTACACGCCAGCAGTTCATGGCCAAATTAGATGCACTTTTGCAGTCACGAATATCAGTTCCAGTTTAAATGACATATTTTTTCTTCCCTTTGCAGTTCCATTTAACAATGTGGAAATTTTTTAGTTTTTATTTTAAATATTAAGTGTTATTTATTGCTATTCTTCGCATTTTATTTGCTAAAACTTTAAAACTGTGTTTCGGTTTTGCTGAATATGATATTAAACTTTTAATTCTTTAATAGTAATGGTTTCAGATTCTTTATAATTATGCAAGAGATTGAATACTAATAAAGAATGGAGTTACTTCCTCTGCCTCATTATTATATAGATATAAAAATCAAATTTACCAGTGCTACTTTTTAATAAATATTTAATTTTTTAATGTATTCATATCATTCAGCAATTCATATCACGTTTTTTTTAAATACTATAAAGAAAAATAATCAATTTAGTAATATTTATTAATTAAAAGTGTACAAAAAACAAATTTGTGTTTTCTGTGAGCATTCTCCAAAATCTCAAGTTCTAGAACCCATCTAAATATGTCTAAAATACCTGTTTTTGTACCCCTTATGTTATTTTGGGATTGCTATGGATGCATATTCTTGAGAATTCATAAAAAAAGTTCGAGATTCTCTGCGTAAAATATTCTTGAAATCTGTAATTATAAACTCTAATTTGAAGTCTTCAGATTGCATTCTCCCCCTCTTCTCAAGAATGTGAAAATGAATGTCCACATGTGTAGAGAAGGAAAGTACAAAATATTATGAAGTACGTTATTGCTCGTGTACAATCCTAATCATTCAGAACATCTAGATTTTTCATTTCATTTGTATTGTCTAACTAGCACTAGAGTTCGTATTTTTTCATCACTGTATTAGCTGTTGCCATTAAGTAATCTATAATTAAATTTTTACTAAACCTTATGCATGTTGCTTGCATATTTTTTGCCATTAGCAGTGAAGAACAAATGGGTAAAAAAATTAAAACTTTCATAAACATTCATCTGAATTAAAAGTTTCAAAAATAAAAATCGGCAGTTGTACATTTTCTCCTCCCTGCTAAAAAAATTTGCCTCCTTATTTTTAATTATGTCAAGGCATAGTATTATGAAACTTCTTTTAAATGTTTTAGAATAGGAAGGTAGAGGAAGTAAGAGATGTTCAATATTTCTAATTTAAAGATTACTTAAAACTATATGAATTTTCCTTACTGCTGACTTTTTTTTAAAAAAACCGAGAATTTAATTTATCAAATGTGCTTCATTGCTGTTTTGTTCCTGTGTTGTGTCATCTGTGTATTCTTCTCACTTTATTTTTCTTCATTCCCCTTCCTTTAAACGTTATATCCTAAGTACATTTGTTTAACTGCATCCCATTCCGTAGATAAGAAAATTATCTTCTTAGTTGTAGATATCTCTGCTGAAGACAGCGGCATTTCCCAATCTCTCTTTAGTGATGCTGATTCTTCTGTGCCCTCAATAGAGTCAGATTTCAAGACCATGTCAGACTCGGGTTGCCAAGAGGAAATTTACTGTAATGTAGCAGGTGGGGTAATTTCTTCTTTTTCTTCTCCTGTGATATACTCAAGGAGACCTACTCCTGGAATTGAAACTGTAACTGCACCAATCCCTTTGCCAAGAATGTCTCTTAAAAGGAAAGGTGTCACCTCTGTGGAGTCTTTAAATTCCAGCACTTATCCGTCTTGTGGTTCGTTAGTTCTTTGTTTCTTCCTTCTTAAATGCATGCTGTGAAATTTTTTCTCTTCTGATCTGTTTGTACTGCAGCATGCTTGCATAACTAATAAAAAAGCATGACCTCTTTAGTGATTGTTTCTCTGCATCTCTTAATTTTTGTGTATCTTGATGTTGTAAGTGCATTTGAAATTCGATTATGGTAAGTTTTTGTTTCTGTTTTTTAGTTTATGAATGTGTTAAAGTATTTTCATATAGGAATTACAAATTTTGATGCTTAATGTTTTAATATTTCCTTGTATGCCAGAAATTGCGTGCTCATAATCGAAAAAATTGCTTTTTTGGTGTATATATTTACTGTGGAATATTTTGAAAGAGTTAAATAACGATTCATGAACAATTTGTTAAATAATGATTCATGAACAATTTAACACTAAATATCAGCATGGAACTAGAATAAATTTTCAAATAAGTAGGCACATATCCCCCAAATCTTATCACTCATCTTTGAGAAAGGGAATTTATTAACTTATTTCAGCTTCAGCCAGATTGACTTATCTAATTGAAAACACTGCAGAATTGGCCTTGCCTTATCCTAGCATCACATTCTCTTGCAAAAAGGAATTGCATGTGTTTGTAAAAATATTCCCGGATCAATTCGATGAGAGAAATTTTGTGTAGTTTTTCTGATGCAGAACGATAAACGAAAAAATAGTGAGCAGTTCTTTATTCAATATGATTTTGTTCTTTTGGTGATGTGAGAAGTTATGGATAGAACAGTTTCTGTAAATATTCAGAGTAAATGCCTGAACCATAATGGAATTATAATTTAAATTCATATAAAATTGTAGGTTTCATGACTAGTTGTAAGAAGTTACATGCCACAACTTTCTTGTTATGCATATAGGTTGTACCTAAGAACATATTTCACCTCTTCTAAGCTGCCATTCCGTAAAAGATTCACATTTTCATTGGGAGACAGTTATCTTCTTAGCACTTTATTCAATATGATTTTGTTCTTTTGTCATAAGCACGTTTGTGTACTTGTACCTCTTGACTATTGCAGTTAATTGCCATGAAGATATGTGAAATTGCATTAAAACATTGGCAACTTATAATTTAAAGACCTGCCTGTTATTGTAAAGGTTTATTAATATGTAAGTAAAATTTATATTTTTGAAGAAGAATAGTGCTGCATTTGACAGTTTCTTTTCATTTTATTAAAGATTATAGAGGTTGTGGAAAATTTAAATAATTCCTTAACGCAAATAACGTAGAATTTCCAAGCAGATATCAATGGTAACTAAAATGATTACAAGACTGTAAATATAACACTGAGTAATTTTTTTTACAACATCTCAAAAATTATCAGGATGTCATTTTAACTAATATATCTATAAATATATTAACTATTACATTCCATATAAAATTAATGCTAATAAATTTAAACTGAAATACTAAAGCTATTATTTCTACAATTACTGCTTATCTATTATTTTTAAAATAGGTTAGTACCTTCTCTAACATTTAAAATTTTATCATGCATAATTCTTCTGTGATTAAATTGGAGATCAGATTTTAGTTATCAGTAGCATTTGCCTACTCCACTTTTTTCAAATAAAGTTGTGCTATCATGTAAAACATGAATTTAAAATAATAGTGTTAACTCGTATCATAATTAATTTTCTAGTGAGCATGAACTTTTTTTGTATTTAGAGTTTATATATTTTGATTATTTAAGTACATATGAAAAAATTCTTCATTAATTTATATGTTAGATTGCAAATAAATTTTGCTTAGTTTATTTTTTTAAATTTATTTCTTTTTTATTCTTATATAAAATTTATATTCCCTTTTTAAACACACTAAGAGAGGAAATTCCATGCCTGTTGTTTATTTACCATTAATTTCATGTTCATATATGATTAGTAGTGTTTAAATGTATTTTTTCATGTTATCATTTTATTTTTTAGACTCCTCAAAATCAGTGCCTTCTAATTCGGATGTCCAAAGTCACAACAAGGAAGGGTTGGACAGCTACGAGAATGGCGTTCTTGGCAGCAATATCAGCGGTATTTAATTTTATTATTTAATATTTTATCCATATAATAAATCAGAATTTTTGAGCAAAATGTAACATATAATTAAGTATATAAATTCATTATAATTTAAAATGCATATATAATTAAGAGAATATAGAAATAAATATATTTGCATGAATATACAGATAACCCTTGATTACCGTGATAGATTGGTTCTCCAGAAATGTTGTGTAATTTGAAATCATTCTATTTGAGTCCTCATTTCATACTGAAAAGAAATAATACCTGATAAATTTAATAAATTTATAACAAATAGTATTATTTATGTTTTGTAAAATAAAAAAGTGTTTTTTAAGTAAAAGTGCATTAACAAGATTCTTTGCATAGCATAATTGAAAAAAAAAATTATATTTTTATTCTGTTACATCTTTATTTATTAATATTATGGTAGCTGTTTGTTTCTTGGTTGTATGTCTAGACTATTACTGCTGCTAATTTGCTCAGTTTAGTTTTTTTTTTCTAATTCATTTTCCTGAGGTATGGCAGAACCTGTTGTAATAAAAACCGTAATCAAAGATTGTTTCAAATCTTATAAATTCTTTATAAATTTCCTAATATGGAGCCAAGCAATTGTGCAGTTCCCTTCCAGATTTTAGGGCTCGCCAGCGGCTGAGCAGTAAAGTCGCTGAACACTGGTAGTTTGGTTCGAATCTCATGAGCGCGCTGGCTGCATTGCGGTTTTTGTGGTTTTCCCCATGTGTGACATGTAAATGAGCTAATTTCCCTTAGAACGTCCTCCACAAAGGCATCCTATACTTTAGGCAGATAGCCCTCATGGCTTTGCTCTAATCACCTTAATTTTTTTTTTAAAATGTTCTGATCATGCTCAGCAAAGAAAGTGTCCAGTTCTTTAGCCTTTGAACATCCTTAGCTATAGTAATTACAGTAAGTGTTGGAACTCATTCATCATCTGTTCAGGGTTCACTGGATGGGGAATCAATGGCAAGTTCTATCAGTTCATCATCATTAAGTTGGGCATCCACTTTTAGTTCATTTGAAGCCATATCATCGAATCATTCTCCTACTACTTGATATACCAATCTTGTAATATCAGAATATTCATTTTGTAATGTTGACATGTCATATTCACTTGAAATTAACCATCACATCTGTCCATATTAGATTTCCAGCTGGCATTTAGTATAAATTTCTTGATTTCTCCAACAGTTAACCTGGTTATTTTCACACAGTCTAGAATAGAATATTTTTTACTAACCTGGGTAATGGTGAGTTTATTATCAGAGTCCAGTTCATCCAAAATTTTAATAAGCATTCCAGTACACAAGAAAATTGTCTTTCATTCAAGCCTGTCATTGTTCTTAGGTTTACAAAATAATTAATAACCATAGGCTTCATCTGACAATCGCATGAAGCCTTGCTACAGAAATTAGTTGCTTTTAAAACTTGTATTTTGCAGCTAATCTGTTATTTTGAGACAGATATATCTATCCTACATGGAATTTCATGACAGACCCATCTCATCATCATTAAACACTTTATCAGGGGTATAAGATCCTTCTTCAATTATTTTGCATTGCTCTTTAGAGTATTTTTAGCTACCCTTTCATCAGCTAAGTAATGCCTTTAAATAACAGGAGACTGTTTTTCCTGTTATTTTATCAATATGTAAGGAAAAATCTCTTTAAATTTCTTAAACTATCCTTTGCTTCCTGAAAACTGTGATGTTTGATTTAAAGTTGGTGGTTGTTTGGCCTTGATGCTATTAAGTATTTTAATTGCCTTATTCATTGAGACATTAATGTCTGTAGGCATTTTCTTTTGAGTATTATCTTCTGTCCAAATAAATAATGCAACTCTATATTTGTATCTCTGACGATTTAAACTTACAGAAATTCCATTTAGCTACATTAGCTCTAATTTTTTCTTCATCTTTTTTAATAGTTCTAACTGAGCATGTTTTGCCATAGTTGAACATTCTGCAGTCTTTAATCTTGTCTAATATTTTATTCCTTGTTTCCAAAGTAATTATCTTTCTTTTCAAGCTTTGTTTCCTAGGGGCTATTATAAAGACTAGAATGATGCAAACATCTAATTGTAATTACGCAATATGAGGATAGAAGTAGAGAATAGTTTTATGTTTATGTAATTTACACAAGAATTTTGCAAAGCTACTCTTAAATCTGGAAGCTTACTGGTGTTGCATACATACCGAAGTAGTGAGTATAGTGTATGGCATTAAAATACATCCTTATGTATGAATGAGTGACATCATCATATATATATAAGCTGTATATAACATATTTTGATGGTGTGTTCTATGCTTGCAGTTTAGGTGTGCATGCAGCCAGTGTAGGATTTACGTAGAAGCTGCACAAGCCATAGCTTAGGGCCCCCACTTTCTTGGAAGCCTCCCAATATCCAAAAATCATATCTGGACCTATAAAGGACCTCATATGTCAAATAGCTTAGGGCCTTATCAAGTCTAAATCCGGCCCTGCATGCAGCCTAAGTTTGATTAGGATGGAAACAAAGCCAAATTTTCGATTTTGGAGAACTGTAAATTTTCTTGCACTTTCATGTTTAACTGTGATGTAAACCATGTGGATACACCTTCTTTCTTCCTTCCCCCCTTAGCTTCTTTTTGCCTCATGCCAACCTGCATACATATGTAAGGCAAGTAATGTTTTCAATCCACTAATTTAATAGTTAGTTTTCAGTAAATAAGTAAGAATTATGGTCTCCACAACATGTTTTTACTATTTTTATAATGTCTGTCTATCTGTGTATCTGTATAAGTGTGACATTTTTTTTGTCCATGATAACTCTAACATGAAATTTCTTAATGTTTCTATTTTCTTTACTTAAGCTTTCTATTTTTATGTAAAAAGTTGATTAGATTTCGGTAAAATTCAACAGCCAGAAGTGGTATTTTACGTACCGTATTTGACGGCATATAAGATGCACCCTTATTTAGAAGGCCACACACAAGGGGGAAAAAGTTTGAATAGTCCGCCCGAAAACGTGGTACCACAATAACTTAAAATGTGGTTTCTTTTAGTTCTCACGTTTCGTAAAAGCCAAATAAACAGTCATTGAATGCAATTACCAAACATATTTTTATTAAGGAAAATTAACAAATGACAAGTTATTTTGAACATGATATGTAAATTTCAATAATGAATAAATGAATTAATGGCAAGCAATCAAACATAATACAAAATAAAGCAGAAACAACAAAAAACACAGATTCGAGGGAAAATGTTGCCTATCATGAAATTAGACTTTAATCACTTTCAAAACCATAAAATCCTTTTTTACTATCATCATCATTGAAAACGAGAATATCGTCATCACTACTGTTTCCGTCATCGCTAGTATCACCTTCTTTGAATAATGTGTCGTCTTCTGTTCCGTCAAGAGCATTACTGATTCCGCACTTCTTAAAGGAATTAACAATTACTTAAGCCTTTATGTCCCCCCAAGATCTTTTTACTCACTCGCACACTTGTGAAATAAAGGGCCGCTTCATTCTACCTGAGGGTAGAGGGCGTGATGTGGCTCTCCTATCCACATGTTCCATCGTTCTCGCACTTTTTCCTTAAATGGCTTACTCACCAATACATCTAAAGGCTGCAGTTGGCTAGTCAGTCCACCACGAATGACAGCTATCTGGGTTTTGAATTCTTTATTCTTTATGGTTTCAGTTCTATGGGTGCTAAACTGATCCAAAACAAAAGAGAGGATTTTCTTAAGAGTCCATCAGATTGCCTCGCCCATACATTCTGTAACCACAGTTTCATTCCAGCCTTTCGGATGAACATGAACAATTACACCCGTTGTTTCGGATGAGTTTTTCTTTTGAACATGAAAAATGTGGTAGTTTTGTGCCATCAGCACAACATGTTAGAACTACCGTGTATCTGGTTTTTTTTTCATGACCTGTTGCTTTATGTTTATTGATTTAGACCCTTTAATACTCAGTCTTGTTGGATGGTACATCAAATATGAGTGGAATTTCATCCATATTTCCTATTTGACCGAGCTCAAAAGAAGTTTTCTTGCGTGCATTTATAACAAACCTATGAAATGCTAGTATTTTTTCTTCATAATCTGCTGGCATTGTCTTTGCAATAGTTTATTTTGTACGCATTGATAAGCCGTGCCTTTTCATGAACCTGTAGCACCAGCCCTCAGACCCTGAAAAGTTCTGATTCCCATGTTTTTCTGCAAATCCTTTGGCCTCATTGATTATCATTTTGGTTGAAACACTTATCCCAGATTTCCTCTTATCTATCACCCACATTTTTACAGCATTTTCAAGTTCAGGCCAAGATGGAGCTGGGCATCGAAGGTTATGTTTTTGTTTTTTAGCAGTCTTCAGTTGATCTTCCTGCAGTCGCCAAGTACGTATCATTTTTTCGGTAGGTGGTGGACCGAAATGCCTTGCTGCTGCTCTGTTTCCATGCACTTTGGCGTAGTTTAACATTCCTAGTTTATACTGAATTATATAACTTAATCTTTTGTTTCCTGTAGTCATATTTTCCAGGGTATTTGTTTTAAACAAATAGTTTTAAGCACCGATACCAAGACGTTTATACAGAGTAGCACCAATACCGACATGTGTGTCGGCTGAGTTAAAGAAGGAAAGGCTCCATAGACATAATGTGAACGTCGAACCTGTTCAAACTTCAACATCAGCTCGAGCTTTGGCGCTTTTTGGCGACAGATATTTCACACATGCGCAAAATAATTATGGCAGATGTAGAAAAAGTTACGTGTGTCTAGACCATTATCCGGGCTAAATAGCATTTAGTATTGAAAGTTAACCTGTGTCCTTCACGTATAAGACGCAGGTAACTTTTTTGAGACCAAATTTAGAGAAAAAAGTGCATCTTATATGCCGTCAAATACGGTAAAACCTATAATAGTTTTTAATGAAAAACTGTATTCAAATATAATTCAAAATTTTTTAATTTTAGTATTTGAGACTTTTATTTCAATGAAAATAACATATTAGAGTTTGGTTAAAATGAATGAACCAGAAAATACTTTACTTGAACCTCTGAATGGACTTTCCCAAAAAAATATATTAGGAGATAATCCAAAACTTCTAATTTGGTCTTTAAAATAGGTGTGTGATTGAAAACAACTTATTAAATTTATAAGCATTATATGTATTCTTGAAATTATGCAAAATGCAACAAAGAAGTTCATTAATGAGTCATTAATAATCAAAGTTCATTAATGAAGCAGTTAAATGTAATTGCCTCAATTTTGCATCAGTTTCACTTTTGTGTAGAATCATTTTTCAAGTAAAAGGATGCTGTCACCAAATATTATTGCTATGTATTATTCTTAAAGAAATAATATGGCAAATGTAAATAATATAGTAAATATAAAAAAATGGCAACACAACCACTCTATTGGGAATTCTAAAGGTATGCTGATTTTAAAGATTTTTATGTTTTTGTTGTTGAATTATATGTGTCTTAACTGTGCAGAAACTGAGGTTTAAGAAGTAAAGCTAAAATGACAAATTATAATAATCTTGTAAAAAAAGAACACTGACATAATGAACTGATAAAACACTGAAAAGGAAATTTCTGGCAGTACTTAACGCTGCAACGAGAATTCTAAAGATATGTTGTTTTTTTAATTTCGTGATTGTTAAGTCATTGATTTTTGAATCCAAAATACTGTATAATATAAAGGATATACTACGATTAATGCAAAATTTTCAAATCAAAGCACGAGAATGTATGCGTACATGAGCACGCAGGTATAGTTACTGTCCATTGCATGAGAGAATAATAAAATGTTATTTTTATAGTTGTTATTAGTTATTTTTATAATTGAGCTATAAAATTTATAAACAAATTAAATTTTACTTGCAAACAATTAACCGAAAGTGATAGTTTACTTAAAACTTGTTGCAATTTTGCCTGTTTCATGATAAAGCATGGATTTGGGAGGTCATGGGCTCTCCATATCAGTTTTTTTTTTTTTTTTTACTAAAGCTTGTTTTGAAAAGTGTATGTTCTTTTAATTCTGATTTGGTAGTTACTATATTGCAAAATTAATAAATAAATGATGATAATAATAACTTTTTACATTTTTCTGGCTCAACCATGTTAAAGAGAAATTCAAGGCTATGTAAATGAAAGTTCTTTTCCTTTTCTTTAATGGGTGTTGGAACCCCAAAATCTTCAAAAAATTGTAATTTCGGATTTTTGCATTTTCAAATTCTCTACACTTTTATCTTTCTAAAAATACCAATTTTTATGAGAATTAGGACTGTACAAAAATCTAGTTTTAATTTATCATCTACTGCTTTGATCAATAAGGAATTTTACATACAAACGCGTTTTTCTCCAGACTGTACAAAAATCTAGTTTTAATTTGTCATCTACTGCTTTGATCAATGAGGATTTTTACATACAAACGCGTTTTTCTCCAAACATGATTTTTTTATACTTGGTGTACCTTTTCTCAGGAACTACTGCTCACAGGTATCTAAACTTTTTATGTCTTATTTATTAGGTTCCTAATATTTACTGAAATGAGCTTTTTGTAATAAACTTAGAAAAAAAAATTTTTTTAATTTTTTTGTGTGTGTGTGAGAAAAGTGCTAAATTTTACTATGCCTAACAAAATATTCTGTAATTTACTCTAAAATTCAAAATATTTCAAAACCTCATTTCAGTATAATCAGATAGGTACACTTTAATTACAGAAAAAATTTCAAGCTTGTATCTACAGCAGATTTTGAGAAAAGGTACATCCAAAAATGGCCAATTTAACATTGTCGGTATAGGGGTTTCTGATACTCCTTAACGTGAATACAATGGCTACAGAAATAAGTTTTACTACCCCACATGTCTGTCACTGTAAAGTGATTGATATGTGAGGGTTCTGGTCTCAGCTGTGTTCGAGTATTTTAATTTCTACTGCAAACACTCGACTTCTTATTTCATGTTTGCATTATCCAAGAAGCCTGTGCATCTCCAAAGTAAACTGTGAAGAAACCAAACAACTGCAAATCAATCAGATCTTGGTGCTAAAGAAATTTCCATCTAATTAGTCTTGCATTAACTATGCCACATGAAGTCTGGCAATATCCTGCTGGAACAACATGCTATAGTTTAGTAGGTCTGGTGTCTATTAAAATTAGATAGAAGCATAAATAATATTTAACATGCTACTTCTTTAATATATATACGTCAAAGCTTGATAGTCGTTTTCAGACTATCTTTATAGGCAGTCATTTATAACTATCTCGGTACAAAGTAGATAATAATATTATTATTTGGTGTCATCTATTGAAATTTCTCATGACTGCAATCACACAACAGTTTGTAACTTGTTTATTGACTTCTATCATATTTAGAATAAAGTAGTAAATATTCTTACTGGAGGATAAAGTATGCATCAGAATAAAATTTGTCTTCACATTTTAGTCTTATATTTGAACATCATGTCTTAAAAATCTGTTTATGTTTGAATTATTCTTGGCTAGTTGTAATTTCTTTTAATTGGGTACTAGGCATATTAAATCTGTCACTAATTTTAGGTCACTTAATGAGTTCACAAATTAAAAAAAAAATATGAATTATTCAAATTTGTTTTGGTATTCCGAACCATTCATAACTTTAGTAGATGAAACTACTTCTGTGTTACCCAATCGGATAATAGCTAACCAATCTTTGTGTTTTTTCCGTGTCTGTGATTTAGGGAAGGTCCTCTTTCCGTTTGCAGCTATCTTCTTTTTAAAAGTTGTACATTTTAATGTTCGTACTAGGGTTATTGTTTAAATAAGGTTTTTTTTTTCCCCATAAGAAAAATACTACTGTAAATATCATTAAAATATTTTTTCCATATTCTACATGCTTTTATTTACTTTTCTGTATAATTTTCATTTTTTAACAAACATTTGTCATATTGTTCCAACAAGTTTTTGAATTCCGACGTGAAAGAAATCTGCCACCTGTGAAAAAGCCCAATTTATGACTGCAGTTTTCATTTTGTCATCTCATTGAACTCTTGACCATTAAGGAACTTCTTTATGTATTGAAACAAGTGAAAATCACTGGGAAACTGGATGGTTTAGTTGTTCCCAGCCATCATGGAACAAAATCACATCATAAGAAAGTAAGCCACCCCAGAGTTTTCTCAAGGGTCATACATTACACCTCAGAATTGACTGTTGTGCCTCTCGGCTTAAAATCCAATAACAAAATCCCATTCCTGCCCCAAAAGAATAGTTGCCATGATCTTTTATGCTGAAATTAAGTGTTTGATTTTCACTTTGGTTGGTGACAATGTATGGCACCATTCCATTAACTGGTGCTTGTACTCAAGAGCAAAGACTATGGTTTGTTAAGAAAGAAAACTTCGCAGCAGCAGGAGTGGCTCCCTTCGAACGAAAAGAGAAACAACTGCGCATGCGTGAAGTATCTGTCACCAAAAAGCACCAAAGCTCGAAGCTGATGTTGAAGTTTGAACACATTTGACGGTCATGTTTATCAAGAGTTTAAAGTTGTGTGATTTTTTTTTTCCTCCCCAGATATAAAATCAGACATCAAACTGCGATATGGATAATGCAAGTTCAAAGTGAAAGTGAAACTTGACCTAATTTTCTTATTCATCTTAACCCGTGTTCTTCAATTTCCTGTACACGTCACAGAGGAGGAAAATGTTGGCCAGGTCCGGTACATCACAGAGGGGGAAATTCTCGCCAACAGGTTCCGTCGCCAAATATTTTGGAGAATTTTCCCGCTTCTTTCTAGCAGCATAGAAAACAAACTGGCTTACATTACATCTATGGAGCCTTTCCTTCTTTACATAGACGTTCTTTATCAAGAGTCATGAGACACCCAAGTCTCATCTTCTCTAAGAATGTAGTCCAAATATTTATCTCCTTTGTTGAGTCAAAACAATAAAGCACAACCTAATCTTTTTGTTTTCTGATCGTAAGAAAGCAGTTTTGGAACCCACCGCCAATACAGTTTTAAATAATTCAATTTCCCAAACAATAATAGTGCACAGAAATGACCTTGAAACCTGTGGAAAATGAATTGATAACTTTGAAATCATGAACTGTTAGTCCTCTCGAATTTTATTGTCCATACACGAACTAAACCTTCAGAAATCGACCAGAGCATGACGTAGCATGCACATTAACCCACCCATCATTGAACATTTGTAGCCACTTTTCAGATTTTACTGTCACTCATAGCATTACCACCGTTAACTTCACAAATGTGACAGTGAATTACTGTCAAGTCTTTTGCACTCAAGAATTTAATAGCAGTTGTATCTCGTAATTGGTGAGCGTCTCAATTTTCTTAAACATTATAAACGTCTACAGGTCAGCACACAGACAGATGAAATGGCATCTAAATGCTAATCTAAAAGCATGCTGGGAGCAGACGTGCATATACACTGTGCTGATTGCATATCATTCTCATTCTCATTTGTAAAATTATTTGCATATCTAATTGCTGTAATAATATTCCTCCTTCTTTTTTCAGATCTGAAGCCTGTTGGTGTCCAAACAGATCATGAGCAGCCTTCATCTGGGGAAAGTTCCAACAACAGTAAACAAGAAATAAGAGTTGATGAATCAACAATTACTAATAAAGAAGATTCCCAGAGCTTAAAAACAATTTCAAAAGCTGATCCAATCATAACTTCCAAAGTAGATGAAGAAAGCCCTGAATCCAAATGCAAGGAGAGTAGAAAAAGTTCTTTTGCAAGTGACAGCAAGTCAAGTTCTCTCACTAGTGAAAGCAAAGAAAGTAGGTCAAGTTCTGTTGCCAGCGAGAGTCCTCTTGGTAGCATTTCCTCCACACCACGTAATCGGAAAAAGCTAGAAAATTTTGCACTAGGCTGCTACAAAAAAGAAGATAATGTTGACATATACAGTTTACCCTCTCCTGAATCAGAAAACAAGCCACAAGAAAAAAGTCAGTCACAAATAAATCCAGTTGATTTGAAAAAGGAACTTGAAATTCCAGTAAGGAGAGTCAAAAATCAACCCGATGTGAAGATAGTTTCTTTTAAAGAACAGAAAGAACAAAATGAAGAATATTTGCAGCAAAGCAGCAGTGGTAGAGTACTGGAAAAATGTGCTCAACTAAGCAGCATAAGTACTCTGCCTTTGACTGGAAGATCTGCCTCATTGTTTAATCTTACTCCACAGAAAAAAATTGAGGCTTCAGTGAAAGAACAAACACTTAATGAAGAAGTGATGAATGAAGGCATGAAAAGAGCTCAATCTGATCAAAATTTTGCTACTGACTTGGAAGTTGCTGATATTAAGACTAATTTACTTCAAGAGCAGAAACGTCTTCAAGATGAATATAAACGGTTACAAGAGCAGTTCATGTCATGGCAAAAACAACTCCTTTATAATCAAAATGTGCTACAAACTGAAAAAATTGTCCCTCAGATGGATTTCCCAGCATTTGAAAGCTTAGGTAATTTGGAAATGAGCTCAATAAAGGCCAACAGTGAAAAGCAAGTTTATCAAAGTGAAGTAGAAAAAAATAGGTTTGATGAATTGAAAACAAGGTCTTTACCAAGACCTAAAACTAAGCCTTTATCTTTAAAAGAAGCTGCAAGACCCAAAACACCTCCAATCCCTCAATCTCCTACTGAAACTGCAGTTGTTGATATTGATATTAGTGTATCAGAGACTGCCAAGAGGCCTGAATCTTTACATTCACATTCTGTGAACACGCAGGTAAATGTTGATCTGAAGGATAAAGTTGTTCAGGTACCACCTCCTCAGGATAAAGTTGTCCAGGTACCTTCTCCTCAGGACAAAGTTACTTCCTCTACCCAAGTACCATCTCCAGAAAATGTGGATGGAAAAGAAGATGTCTCTGCACAGACAAGTATAAAGGGCCAAGAGTCCTCACCAGAAATCAGTAGTTACTCACCTTCAACGCCTTCGCCAGATAATGAGAGTAGCAAGTCGCAGACACTTCCTCGACCAAAACCTAAGCCTATTAGTGCCTTTCAACCTTCACAGACTATGACTCTGAACAGAAGCACGCAACCCAAGTCTCAGGTTGTGTCCGTCACTATTGGTTCTTGGCAGCAACGTAACTCAGAAAAACCAGATATTGAACCTTATAGTGTAGCTTCATCGAGGTCAAAATTCCAGAGTTTAGAAAGCATTCCACAGAATTCTAATAAGCTGATTCCTAATACAATAGAAAAAAGAAAACTACCACCAGTGCCCACTGAAAGTGTAAATATTGACAATGAATCAGTTCCACTTGTACATAAACCTGTGGAACCAGTGTCTGATAATGCAGTAATTTCTAAATCCATAAAAGAACATGCTAATGTTCCAAGCAAAACAAAAGACAAAGTTCAAGAAGAACACAAAAGTACTGTTATATCACAGGAAAAATCTAAAATAAGTAATGCTCCTAGGCCTCCAAAATTGGTTCCAAAACAAAGCGAAACTGAGACTCAAAAGCAAAAGAATGAAATTAAGTTTGCTTCTAAAGATCCTTCTGCTATGTTTAAGTCATCAAAACCTTTTGTAAAGTTATCTAGTATGAAAGATGAAACCCATACAACTTCTATAATAGGACTGAAAAAATGGCCTCTCTCAGAGGGTAACAGTATTACTGATGGGCGGCAGACAATTTTAGAGGATTTAAGAGCAAATTCTAAAAGACCAGGAGGATATGTTCAGGATAAAATTCGAAGAGCCGAAGTTGATCTTCGGAAGCCAAAATCGTCAAAGACTGAATCTGTTACCATTCGAAATTCGAAAGATTCGGATGTTGAACCTTCTAAACTTCATATCACTAAAGTTAATGTTAATAATACAAATAGTGGTGTGAACTCAAATACTGTTGTTAAAAATGTGAGCAGTACCACTAATACAGTCACTCCTGTGAATCTTCCAGTGCAGAAAAGTACTGCATCTAATGCAGTCACATCTGTAACCGCTACAACCAGCAGACATTGGAGCAACACTATTCCAAAATCACAGTCACTAAATTCAGAATTAATGTCAGTTTTTTCTAAAAAAGCTTCCAAAAATTTATATAGTGAAATTAATAAACAAAATATTGCACCAAAGCATGCAAGTACTGCATCAGAAACTGTGACCGTTAATGGTTCTTCACCTGCACCCCCTCCCCCTCCCCCACCTCAGCCGTCTCTTTTTACAATGCCTGTCATACCCCCAGCTGAACAAATTCCTGTTTCCAGTCAACTTTTAATGGCAAGAGGTACAAAGACTTTGCCTGTAACAAAAAAAGAATCTAAGAAAAGTCCATCAAAACCTTCACAATCTTCTGATCCTAGGGAAGAGCTTATGCTGGAGATACGAGGTTTTGGTGGAAAGCAAGCCCTGCGTAAGGTAATATATGTTTTTCATTGAGTAGTTTAATTTTGCAGAAATGTGTAATGCATTCCAAAATAAGGCATACTGTATTTATCATGTTTACATTGTATTATGGTGTTGAAAAATCTTAATTTTTTTACTCTTAAAGACTAATTTTCTGTGGCCAAATATTTTGTCATTTTTTAAAATGAGGTCAGCAAGTATTTATTAAAAACCTATGGGTTTTAATAATGGGTCTGAATGAGTTTGTCTATGTGTTCTATAGGTCTGAATGTAAGTTTGGGAACATCTGCTTTGTACAGCTACTGACAACACTGGTATTCATAGGAACAGCTTGCTTCACATGTAATTATTCTGTTCATAAATTAGCACATTGTATTTTGAGAATGTTCCTAAAAGCCATAGCAGTTTGAAAATAGTGAGGGGCAATTAAAATATTCATAAAATAGGGTATAAAAAAAATGCTAGCTGCTAACTTTATTTTTTTTATTATTATTTTGAGTGTAATCTTCTGTGGCAATACATTTTTTTCTCAGCATTTTTATTGCATATTTAACTCCATAAAAAAAATCTTCATACTCTAAAAGCCATTCATCAACAGCTTTCATAACATTGTCACATAAAAAACACATCCTGTGATGGATTTTTCGTCTGATTTTCAAACAGAAAAAGTCTTAAATCAAGATCTAGTGAATGTGAAGAAATACTTGAAAAACCTTCAACAGATGCTGCATCTGTTACTTTGGCTGATATGTATGACTGTGTTGTCAGAGCAGTAAAGAATTAATTATTGACAGGTTTTTCCCATCATTTACCCTTAATTATTCATGCAGTTATATCTTAATTTTAATCTTAATTAATAATCTTAATAATGTGCCTAATATACCTCTGTGATTTTTTACTATGCTGAAGGTAATCAATCATCAGCTCTCTTTTGGTATCTAAAACCAATAGGCAGTATACAATAGAAAAAGTTATATAGATACAGTTACAATATATTTTAGTATATTTTAATGCATGTGAAGGCCTATTCTTGAAGATACTTTAGTTACAAACATAATTATCCAAATAGTGGGAGCAATTGTAATCCAGCAAGTCTGGATCAAGCACAGGCTTCCACCTATAATCTACTAAATAAATAATTAAATCCTTCAGCTTAACTATTGAATAAAGGTCTGGTTATTGATGTTGGCACTAACAGTACTGATGTCTAGGATGCCAAAAGCACTGGAGTTGGGCTTATATGATACCCAGGTCTTGTTTGATTTCTGAACATTTGAATGAACATGTTGAGTTACTTGCATGAGTAGTAAAAAATAGAAGAAGAATTTTTAGCATTTTTATTGGCAAACTCTGGTTCCTGTTCCTCAAGTCTATCCAAATCTGCTTTTAAGTTCAAAGGAGGCCTTAGAGAGGTATTTTTTCTCTTACCTAAGCTGTGTCTAGTAGCATAAAACATCTAGGATTTTGACATTTATAAATTACCATGAGCATAACTCTTAAATCTGATGAATTAAATACATAATTACATTATCACCAGGCAAAAAAGATTTTAAATAGTGTTTTTGCCTTTCTTGCATACTCGCAAATCTTTCTTCTAAATTTTTAAAGACTTCTGTGTGTAATAATTATTATATTTGGGAATTTGGTTCTCAGCCCATAACAAAACATTAGTTGTGTTGGTGATAAATTTAATCTAGAAATAGGAGTGTTCCTATATTCCATTAACCCTACTATCCATCCACTTTTTGTGTTCTTCAGGAGCTTTCTTAAATATGGCTTTTGTAATTCCTGTTGCCATCCTTTTACTCTTAGGATATCGTGGGCTTACAAAGACTCTCCAAATTCCAATTCTCTGAAAAACTTGTATTCAAAGCTGCAAAATGTAACATAATCACTAACAATTACAAAAGGTACCATAAATGCAATTCTTTAATGGGCTATAAATTTTCATTGTTATTTTGTTCTTGAATTTCAATCCTGTTAAAATAAACAAATTAAACTAAATATTTGACATATCTATATTTCGTGACGTATGTGCCTATGTTTATGGCCTTTGTGGAATTGCATGTGACAGAAGTATCTGTTATTATTAGCTCTTTGAAATTTCTAATGAATTTCACATTTCATTATTATATACTCATACTTTTAGATGTATGTGGCCAGTACATTATGTCTCTTGCTCCGTTTCTAATTTTTTAGCGCCAAAATGTCATTTGTGAATTAAATAACATTTCTTAAAGATGGTGGTACTGCAATTTTGGAATCTTTAATAAGTGGAACCTTTTATAAGAAGTCCAGATTCTGTATGCAAGTCTTTAATTTTAAAGTATTGTTTTATGTTAGGGGTAATTTTTTTCGTATTATTAGATTAAACTTTCTCACAATATTCATAACTTTAATTTTAGCACAGAATCCAGATGAATGAGTAATCGTCTGAAACTTCTTTGTTAGTTATTGGAAGTTTAAAAGTGTATCCGAATGCACACAACATGTATTAGCCTTCCAGCATGTGCACATAGTATTTTTTACGACATCTCTTATTTTATCGTTTTGGGCATGAAAAATGACAAAAATGAGTGAATATTAATAATAAATTTGTTAAGAAATAAAAATTAACCTTATTATTGCAAAATATAAATGATATCACATTCAAATGATAGTAAATTATTTTTAAATGCTTATATTAATCAGGTGGAAAGGCAATGGTGTACTTCATTATAGAAAATTTTTAATTTATTACTTACTAACTATATTTTTAAAAATTCATATATATTCAAAGGCAAATACAGACAAATGAAAAAAGAGAATACACTCACCTTTGTAGGAAAAAAACGTTTAGTTTAGCATTACTTACTTCTGCAAGGAAATTTACTTCTTACTGATTACAAAAACTAATTTTAATTTAACTTCAATTGTAATATTTTTATTTCTAAAAAATAGAAATAAAAGAAAATAAAGAATGGTAATTATAGAATAGATATGAGTAATAATATAAAAACAGAATTCTAAAGATATTTCTCAATGTTCTACAATATTTCTCAAACCACATGTTCCTCGTTTCGATGAGGATCGCTTTTTCATTTCATCATTAGGGGCAGCATAATTACTGCTTAAAAAGGTTGTGAAATGTCGGAAGGTAATGTTTGGATTTTGGCGTGTGAATGAAGATGCTCTTTCTTAAGACTAATAGATAAATTCTCCAGAAAGATCCTTCGGCATGATGCTGTATTAGTTGTCTTTTCAAGCATGTGCGAAACGTGGGCATTTATCCCAGCAATATTCAGGAGACTGAAAAATATAGCACAAGGCCACCTCCTTGTGATTCTGAAAACTGAATAGGTTGCACACAATTTATTGACGGTGTCTATTCCTCCTTTTGTAGCATTATAATTCATGATTATTTCAGGTTTCAATAAACCTATATATAAATGAAATTGTGGTAGTATCAATCATCATGCATAGTAGAAAGGAGAATTTCAGCTTTATTTCTACGAGGAATGTAAGAAACATGGACTTTGCCCAGCTAGAAACCAAATACTACTTTTGTACCATCCGTCTCTTATTTGGTGAAAATTCCTGTGGCATTTCCCTCTTATTTTTTTTTCCAGTGTTCCAACAAGAGTCAGTTTCTTTTACAGTAAATAATCTGCATGAGTTTTTAAGCAAAGAGATTAACCTTTTAACAACATAGGACTGCTTGAAACAGTATAACAGGTTTGAAAACAGATTGTGCTGCACAATAAATTTCAAGGTCAGATCTATAAAATGGTTTTGAATTGCACAAAGCATGTATTCTTTTTCCATACTTCAATGGTTTACTAGGTATGTACTAAATGTATTGACATTGGCCTTGAAAGGGATGCAGCATCTCATCAAAAGTGATAAATTCACCCAAAGTGTAGCAATCATTACGCTTTTCTAGAAATGATTCAAGGATATTCCGGATAGCTGCCAATTTGTCCGTTTTACATCTGTCCTGTCTTGTTGATTTATCATCAAATCAAAGACAACTTGTCAAAAATAAAATTCTTTTGTAGCTTATCACAACTCTTGTTATGTCAATTCCAGTGCCATCACTTGAGAACAATTCTTTTACATTTATAAAGTGTCTTTTTTTTATTCCTATCATATATAGCAATTTAAAGTATGCCATCATTTCTACTCTTGAGGTAACAGTGCAATCTCATTATTTGCCTTTTAGCAAACGTATATATTTATTTGTACATTCCAAAATTTCATCATATTTATGCCAATTATTTTCAATTTATATCGATTGTTTCAAGCATATTTATACCAATTATTTTCAAAAATGATCCTATTTCATTCTCTATATCCTTGGCAGGTAACACTTTCACAATATTCACAGTTTTCGTCTTTGAGCAGTTTGTATACTTCTGTTTTGCCACTTGGAAGATTTATCCTTACCAATATATCACTATCATTTCTTTTTCCTATATCATTATTATCATCAATCATTCACTACTGATATTATTTATTTCTATAATTTCCTCATTCAAATCGCTACTGTTCTCACATCCAAAGGTTTCCATATCTTCTTTTTCGTCAGATAATATTTGAAGAATGTGAGCAAAATCAGCTGATTGCACATATCTTTTTGCCATGAAAACCTATGTAAAATTATAGAATCAAATTTATACAAATTAAAATAATACATGCCAATTAATAACACAAAATTACAAATATTTGAGAAAAAATATATTTTCCAAATTTTGACCCATGACCATGCCCATGTTGTAACTTAAATAAAAGGTGCCACATAGCACAAAAGCCTAGTAAAGTGTCATACAACTTCCTGTTGGCACCTTCCATGATGTGGGGAAGGGTTGAAAGAAGGAATAGAAATGACCTTCAAAAGTCTCAGCTGCGATATGCAAAAAATGTGCATTAAAAACCGAATTTGTGATAAAATTTGTTCATGACGCTCATGCTGAAAGGTTAGCCATCAGGCTACCTAACTGTTACATGTATTCAAATTCAGCTGCACATATTCT